TACCAAAGTTTATTTGTGACTGACTGATACATTTTCTATAACATGTAAAGAAAGATGTTGTATTTGTTTTAAATTGAAATTTAAAAAAAAAACAAATTTAATAATAAAAAAAGAAACTGAAAGAAAATAGAATAGAAAGAAGTAAAAAATGGAAGAAAAAAGAGAAAAAGTCGAAATATAAAAAGAACAGAAAAAAGGAATTCCATATACAAAGAGGACATTTCTAATTTTTATCAACAAATATGAATAGATTGAGTAACTCTTCACTCCCTCTAAGGCCACAATCTTCTCTTCATCCCTTGTTCCAGTAGTGTGAGTTGGATAAAAAGAATTGTGAAAATGAGAATCAAAGAACTGATCAAGAGTCATTGAACTCTAAGTTATCAAGTTTGAAACAAACAAACAAAACAAAACATGGAAATTTTTGAGGAATTGAGATTTTACCATTACTGGCTTATTAAGAATTATGTGATCCAGTATTTTTGCCTGATTACTTTGATTTGCATGATATATTGTAATGCTTGTGGACTTTGGAAATAATTCTTCTAGAGGTCTCAATAAGGAAAACACCAGAAAAACTAATTCCAGACTCTATTATGTTTTTTTGATCAGAAGAAAAGATCAAGAATCAGATTCACAGTACATTGCACAACTGGCTCCACAAAGCTAGGAATACAGAATGTAGTAAAATTGTTTGAAAGATGAAAGCGAGAGGAGTCCCTGTTTGCTTTTTCTTTGGCACAATTTACTAATAAATTGCTTACAACTGAACGTAGTAGCATCAGAAATAGCAATGAATAATAGAGTAATTTATGTCTGTATTTTCTCCGCTAGATATATATTCAAGGACAAGTTTATTCTGACTGATATCTGTATAATTTCCTAATACATCCTGATCCACATCTTTTTGTGAGCTGATTTTCTTACACAGGCCCCAGAATTGCATCTCAAAATCCAAAGAAGTGTGCAGTCAAACAAGTAAGCCGCATTCTTAGCTACACCTTCATTTGAATACATTGGAATAGCTCAGATTGCTTATGCAGACGGATTGATGTAACTTTTCTCCATTGCTAACAACAGCCCTCTTGTGACCTGAAAACGACAATCCAACAATCAAAGTCATAGCCTACGTACAATCAAAAAGTCCACAAAATAAGAGCATGGCCAATATAGGATCCATTCTGCCAGTTGTCTTTTTTTTTTCTTTTTTTTGAACAATGGATCCTGGCAGTGGAAGGCAGCAAATGAAAAGCACTTGTAGGGTTTTTATTTATTTTTTTCCCTGCATCATAGACTCCTTTTATTTGCACTCCGGCCAGCACAAAATTGCTGATGTCTCCGGGGAAACAGTCATATCTGAGCCTGTCTGTACAGGACATTTCATTCACACTTCCCTTCCTCCACATACAAAAGCTTGTAGAGATGGAATAAAGACTGGGATTTGTGAAGGAACTCTTGAGAGTCGATACTTGTTCAACAACAAAGGTAGAAAGCAATTTCAGTCCCTCTATTCCCCAAATCTCCACTTCTGGATTTCCCCTCAACGTTTCTACAATGTAAAGCATTAAGAAATTCAATTCCGTCTGTATAGTAAAAGAGAATTGGATGTGTAGCTCATTAGAAAATAAAATGCAGACTGGGGTTTTATGGACTGAAAAATAGTTGTACGTGTGCTGTAGGCCTGGTCTGAGGCATTGAATTAGACTAATGTCACTGTCCAAGCATAAATTGTAGGGAAGCTGTAGGCAGAAGCTGAAAATGACAAGACATATTTTTCACTGCGAAACTAATTTTAATTTAGCAAAACTTAATTCATGTAGCTGTGCCTTGACAATTTTGCTGGCATTAGCAAAGTACAGAAGGCCACAGTGAGGAAAAAGGCAATTGATATCAGAAGACCAACCGAAGGTGGAAGCCATGTTTAACCTCTTCTCTGGCTTTTTCCTCTACTGTAAACTACATCCACATTTGTCTCTCCAAACTGGAATTCAAATCCCCCCTCTGTGATGGGCAGGCAATGGCCATTTCATCCATCTCATCTATATCCCCTTCCCCCCAAAAGTTGAAGCACCAAAGCTAAATACATTATCCATTCTCAAGTGACCCTTTCACAATAGTGAAGGGTATTTGTACTCAATTATAGTTAGAGAAGCTTCCTCCACACAAGTATAGCCTTACAAATGTATTTACATGCATAAACTTGCTGGATTTCCATGCCCCTTAATTAGCTGTCACCTTTTTGTTAGGCTCACTAATGTGAAACAAGAAGAGAGTGTTAGCAGCTAGCACAGAAGTCCTCAATATGGGGAACACCAATGAATCTTCAGTCAGATCTCATGGAATGTATATGGTTCTTTCTTCCTCCTACCTTTAATAGTACATAGATTTTTCAATACAAGAAAAGATACTTGGTCCTAGTACAAAGTAACGATCCAATTTTTGATAATATTTTTAACTCAAAAGCATGATAATCATGCTTAGAAAAAAAATACTTGTAGATTATTTCTGACTTACCTGACTTCCTCCTCTCAAAAGATAACAGTAAACTCAGATTGACATAGTACATTTGAAAAAGGATAGCAAAGATTATATATTTGTTTTTTTGATAAACTGGTGTTCACCCTTTGGCTATAACTACCATGCCAAAAAATTCAGAGCCGTCACCTTCCAACCAATTTTGGTGATGCCCATAGCATGCGTCCAGATCCTTAAAAAAGTAGGTACACTTGATCTAGATACTGTACTCAGAAACTTGATTTCAGTCATTGTCTAATAAAAAGATATCCATTTAAAAAACCAAAGCAAATTTAACTCCTAGTATCAATGGCTACTATTAGCTGTTAATGACAAATCTTACACATAATGTGGCAAATTTTTACTTTTTTTTTAGAGATAAATTTATCATGGTTATATAACAAATAATGCAAATAAATATTATCAAGGTTCCCAGAAATTTAAATAAAAAGGGGTAATCAGTTGGTGATTAATGTCCCTGTAGAATTGGCAGTAAAAAAGAACATGGGTTGTGGTTTCTACAGCACTTGTTTACAGGTTCCATGTAATATACTAATGGTAACTTAACAAGTTTGGATTGGATATAATTGGAGAATGGAAGACAAGAAACAAATTTCTACAAGAGCTTGCCGCAGTATGGTTATCTGGTTTTGATTTATGGTCTTTTTCAGTTTTACCAATTGTAGTTTATTAAATAAACCATTGTTATTTAACTTTGACTTGGTGCAATGTACTATTTTGATTTTATAGTCCAATCTTGTGTTCCAATCTTTCTCAACCTGCTCCTTCCAAAGGTCCTGTAACTTCTTTTGGTCATGCTGATGGGGAATTCTGAGATTTGTAATCCCAACCCCTTTTGGACAGATATAGGTTTAAGGTTAACTTTTACAGAATTAGTGGTACCCACTTATATGGCAAACAAACCAGTATTGATCAGTTTTGAAGTACCCAGAGGAGACTGTAAGGTTTTTTCCACGTTCTTCAGTACTCTGAAGGATTATGACACAGTTCAGAGGTTCACATGAAAATAAGCATCAGCCTGGTTTATGCCAAAGAAGAACAGCTGATTTTAAAGTTTTTACTACTAAGCAAGAATTTGCTCATAGCAGCTTTCAGCTCATCTAGGATTACATTAGCAAAGGAATGTATGGGAAACCTGTAGAGCCAAGGTGGCGCAGTGGTTAAGAGCAGCACTGCAGGCTACTGCTAGATCAGCAGGTCAGCGGTTCAAATCTCACCGGCTCAGGGTTGACTCAGCCTTCCATCCTTCCGAGGTGGGTAAAATGAGGACCCAGATTGTTGGGGGCAATATGCTGACTCTCTGTAAACCGCTTAGAGAGGCCTGAAAGGCCTATGAAGCGGTATATAAGTCTACTGCTATTATTGCTGTAGTTTTTCATTGTCATGATGACATTAGTGGGCCGTATATAACTGAGTTGACATCTGCTTATTAAATTCTTACACCACTTTGCCCAAAGCACTCATGCATTAATTCGTGTTTAAATCTCTCCAAATGACATAAGGAAAGCTCCATGTGGTGGAAGAGAATGAAAAATATCTTGGCTAAGGGAAAACAGGGTGGGGAGGACTAGGGCAGGCTAAGTCCCCAGATGTTTCTCTTCCCCCTAAGCAGAAACCTGTCAGGAATGAAAAATGATAGCATTCAACTTCAATTAGGATGAACAAACATGTTGATTTCTGATATGTCACTTTCATTTGGTTTAGCACATAATCCCATTCAAGTTCTGTATTAAGGTGTTATGGAGTCTTTGGCATTTTCTCTTCCTGATTAAGCTCATTTTAAGAATTACACTCCATGCCAACCCTGAGAAGAGCAACATTCTCTTGTTCAACCTCCATTTATAGTGATGTACTTTTTACTTTTACTTTTTAAAATTTAAAATTGTTAGGAAACGTTTATAAAGACACTTGAAGGGCATCAGATTTCTAATGTAGTGAATCAAGTGCAGAAAAAAAAAGTTGAATTACTTTCCCACTATTTAACAAGTTTTGATAATCAGCTAAAAAACATGTTACATTCTTGAGCTCAAATAGATTGGCTTCCTTGGAAATTCCTGTGAACTTGGATGTACTGGATAACATTTCTTTTCTCAGAAGATAAATCAGGAACCTTTGTAATCAACGCTTTTTAAACCTCATGAAATAGATATGAATAATGTGCAAGACGTTTAGAACAGAGAACCAGAGTTTCCTACACTACAAAATCAGTGACCTCAGGTTTTAAGAGACAATTACACTCCTTATAATCTTAGCATAAAATTAATTACAGGTAGCCTTCGATTTACAACCACAGACCAAAGTTTTTGTTGTTAGGTAAGACAGTTAAGTGAGTTTTGCCCCATTTTACAACCTTTCTTGCCATAGTTGTTAAATGAATCACTGCTGTTGTTAAGTTACTAACATGGTACTTAAGTGAATCTGGCATCCCCATTGACTTTGATTGTCAGGTCACAAAAGGTGATCACATGATCCCAGGATTGCAACCATCATAAATATGAACCAGTTGCCAAACATCTGCATTTTGATCACGTGACCATGAAGATGTTACAATGGTTGTGTGAAAAACCATCATACATCACTTTTTTCAGTGCGGTTGTAACTTTGAATGTTCACTAAATAAATGGTTGTAAGGCGAGGACTATACGTCAGATCACTAGATCAATTAACTTTTAAAAAACATTGTCAAACTCTGCTTTGGAGTTATTCCTTGGGTTTTTTAATTCTTGGTTGATTATTCATGCTATGGTGAACCAAATTTTTTGAAGGAAGTTTATTTAAGCTGCTTGGCTAAATTATATATTTTTTAAAATGCAATTTGTCTATTTATTAAGACATTTGAATTAACCATGCTTGGAACTGTTGTGAAAATGCATCACATATTCCTGGAAAGACATATGTGTAATGGATACCAAAGGTTGGCTTGATAAAAATGTCAACTTTCACTTTTTGAATGACCTCTTTTTAGAGTATCGGTTGGACGATATAATTTTATGTGGTCAAGGTTTGTTTTAAAGATGAGTTGTAGCACTTCTTAAATAAACATAATTAGTAGTGTCAAAACTGAATTAGCAATTTTCTTTGTTGTTTATTATAATAGGTCTTTAATGTCTTCTTTTATTTTATAGGGGTTCACATAGTTTGTTTTCGCTTTTCTAGGTGTATTAAAAAAAATCAAAGGTACGTTCCGTATTTTACGCTAATTAGGAATGATCACAACCAGCAAAATCACACTTAGGAGGTGGGGTGAGTTCTCCTACCTGGCGTGGTGGATGTGGCTCCTGATAACTGGGCAGAATTTTGAGGACAACACTTCCACTTGCGTTTTTTAGCACTTCTTGGAGGGCTCGTGGGTCACTGCCCACCTCTTGCCCATTCACCTCCTTGATAATATCACCCACATGCAGCAACCCCTGCTGATCAATCATGCCACCATGTAGGATACGTGCAATAACCAGCTCACCACGCTCCACACGGAAAGTCACACCCTGGGACGGGAGAAACAAATGCAAACAAACACCAGGGTCATACAGCTGAGCTTGGATGATCTGAAAAAAATGACTCTAAGCTAAAGTTAAACCTGGTCAGGCTATAGGCTAGGCTGGGAATTTTTTAAAAAGCCTACCTCTTGAATGAAGGAATGGCACACCAGTTTCCTGTTGTTTTAAGAAAATAAGATGGATAGGCCATGTAGTCTCCGGGAGTTGACTTTAATTCAAAAATCTTTGATGGTGATGATGATTACATGCCATCAGGTCATGGACACTTCTTAACACATAGATTTTCTTCACAAACATCTGTCCCAAGCCTGGTCCTTCAGATCTTCCAATGGTGTACCTATCACTACTGTAACTAAATCTACCAACCTTGCTACTAGTCCTTCTCTTCTCTTTCCTTCCACTTCTCAACATGAGACCCTTCCCTAGGGAGCTAGGTCTTTGCATAATGTGTCCATGGTAGGTTAATTTGAACCTGGTCATTCATGCCTTGAGAATTTGGGTAGGATATGCTCAATGATCCATTGCTTTGTTTGCTAACTTATCTCTTCCTGGAAAACTCCCCTGCTACAATGAGATACCACAGCAGGATTTAGTGGGGGAGTCAAGATTCTTTACTTTTCTAATATTTATATAAAGTTTCCCCTATTCTATTCAGTTATCAAGAGCATCTATTACTCATACCTTAGGTACCCCTAAGGTATGAATTACAAAATTCAGTCAATTTGATGTATTTGGGAAGGGGGACAGTTTGAAACTGGCTAAGAAGAATATATAGAAGTCCTAAGCTTCTCCAAGCTTCATATTCTGGTTTTTTTTTTCTTTTAAAGGTGAATTTTCCTTTTTAAATTTTCTTCAAGCATGTTACAACATCTATAAAGAATATAAGATAGTAATAATTTAAAAACAAACCATGAAATGTGGGCAGATAGCCAACACATCTTGAATAGGAAGCTTAAAATAACATATGGTCAATATATTCTACTAGATAACTAAAAATTTAATATGCTATATACAGCAGCAGTCCCCAGCCTTTGGGGCACCAGGTTTTTCCGCAGATTGGAAGGGGTGTGGTTTCACATGCTGCCTGCATACTGTGGATGGGGCTTGTTTACACCAGTGGTGCTATTCAGCTGGTTCTATCCAGTTCGGGCTAACCGGTAGTGGTGGCGGCTGGAGGCTCTGCCCACAAACCCAGACATCCCCATGGCATTTTTCCCTGGGGGGGGGAGGCTCTGTAGAATATCCCAAGACCGATGCCACCACATCTGCTTTATTTGGGGATAGGTCCTCTTCAGAAGGCCTCCATTGTCCCCCTTGCATTCTTTGTCTTACGGCTGCAGCCCTCCGCCATGGAAAAGATAGGATCGTGCATGCCCCGCACAATTACAGGCCCGGAGAGGGAAGCCTCTGCACAAGTCTGGCTGAGTGAGAACAAGTTCCCACCATTATGAAGGCTCCGGGGTGAAGGAGAGAATCTTTGCCATATAACAGTAAAGCGCCATCCGCCAGAGGCAGCAGGACTAAAGCCCCTCTCTCAACTGGACCTTCCTCCCTCTAAGGGCAAGGGACCTGGCTGCCCCGCTTCCTCTGACTTCCCTCCGATTGTCTCGACCCACCCACCCAGACATCATCACGTCCTGTTTTTGACACTGTGAGCATGCTCACATTCACGAACTGGTAGCGAAGTTAAGTTTATTTCACCCCGGTTTGGTTTCTGACATGCTGTGCTGGTTCATGGACTGAGGGATGGGGCCCTGCTTTACAGGATTTCATAAAAGTGAATTTTCCAAAGCACTTTCACAGCAATAGAAGTTATAGGCATAAGCTGGTCTGTGGTGAACTCAGCCAGGAATTCTATGGGGAGTATATGTTCATTTAAAATGTTCTACATAAGTAAAACTAAATACAAACAGTACAGAAACACTTTAAAAACAATGTTAGATGACAGCAAAATTAGAAGCTGAAATTATAATGACAACGAATCTCCTTTCCTTCTATTCTCTTTTCTCAAGCCAGATATTTTAAAAATTTTAAGCATTCTTTCCACTCTTTGATCTTTCATTTCCTCTCTACATTTTCTTCCCATATGCACCTGGATACCTAGCTAGCAATTTGTATCAATTTATATTGAGCTCAGGAATAGACTGCACTGTCTGATGATGTGGGAAAACAAAGAACGGGGGGGGGGGGAATAATTCAATTTATTTCTAAACAATTAGATTCAGACCTCTCCATCATTAACAAAAGTTGAATTTTCATTCTCATGTCAAATAATATAAGATTGTTTATATCACCCTTTCTTTTTTTGTAATACTTTCTTCACGTATCTGATAGGTTTCTCCATACTATCAAACCTTAGATGGTAAGCTCTTCGGGGCAACAATTTTGTTCTATGTTTTTGCACATAATTTAGTCTGATACTATACAAAAACCAACAATTGGTGTAAAATTCAGCCTGTAGAAGGTATTTGCTCACCAGGTGTTCTCCAGCAGTCTTACGAATTCCCACCATGCGTACAGCATCTGGTGGAACTGGCTGGTTGTTGAACATGGGGTCCAGGACAGGACTGGGTGGTGGAGTCTCGTAACTCTTAGAGGCAACAGAATCGTGGGTTTCCAAAAGGGACTGAGAAAAGGGAAATAAAGTGATAGTGACAGAGCAGAGGGAAAAAAGGGGAAAGGTATAATCAGCTGAGATGAGAAACCAGACAATCAAATACATACTCTGTGTGTGTGTGTGTGTGTGTGTGTGTGTGTGTGTGTGTGTGAGAGGGAGAGAGAGAGAGAGAGAGAGAGAGAGAGAGAGACTAAGGCTAAGATGGACATTGTCAGTGGATCTCCAAATGGTCTTGAATGCCAATGTCCATCAAATCCCAATAGCTATTCACTAGGAGAGTAGCATTAAAGTAGAAAAATACATCTCTCCTCTCAAATCACTTCCCCAGGAAAATACTGTAAGCTGCTGTCCCAGTCAGAAAACATTTAGGCACAAAGAAATGTTGATTATAACATTAAATGAGCAACAAGTGAAGCAAAGACATGGGAAGATATTCTTACACCCAGAAAAAAGTAACATTTCCAACAGTGACTGTTCTTAAAGGCTGCTTTAATTCAATCAGCTACTGCATTTGTAGTGCCACTCTCATTCTTGCTATCCTGACTAATTTTACCAAAATCAAATCCATTATTAGATTAAATGTTATGCATAGATTCAATATATATTGTGCATGGATATGGACTTTATATTGTAATTTAATAATATAATTTACAAGTTAGAGACATTGCATTGTTGCCCCCTTTTTAAGGATAATCTTGCTGCTTCTTATACTGCACTGAGCCATCTGTGCTTCAGTGAAATTGTGTTTCACCAAAGATTAGTCATTTGGCAACCTGGAAGTTTTTGCCAGTCTACCTACCTCTTTGTGGATAACCACCTCTCATGATGAGGACCTTCTGCATAGGTGAGTGCTGATCAAAATTAAAGTCCCTCTAGGAAAACTCCTTCAATTTTCCCAAATAGTCCTTGCTTAGTGACAACAATTGGGACTGGAAGCTCTCAATAAGCAATATGGTCATAAAGTACAATATCATGTATCTGCGCTGACTTACAATGCCACTTCCAGTAGTTCCAGTTGTCCTTGCTAGGCAAATCCCACATAATTGCATGTCTCGTGATCATCATTTGCAACCTTCTGGAGACTTCCCCATTGACTTTGGTTGTCAGAAGCCAGCAGTAATGGTTGCAAATAGTGATCATGTGACCAAAGCATACTGTGATGCCATAATTGCAAGCCAATCACTAAACAAGCCAAATTGCAGTTGCGGGATCATGGTGATCAAGAGCCTCAACCACAAGTATCTTATACTACCCCACACTCGTAACTTCAAATGGTCATTGAACATGTAAATGTTAAAGGAGGACTATCTGTATCCAATTTCTCAGGAATAACAGGAGGAGAATGACTCCTCTAACAGCCTCCTATTTCACTCAAAGAACTTTAGTACCTACTTCCTGACACAGTACAACATCCACTCTGCTGGTTCCGAAGTCCAGAATGGTGACTCAGTAAGAGGCATATCTTTTCCATTTTGTTTGTAATTGTAAACCAGTTTGTGATTCCAATTCTTCATATTGTTCCCAGCATAGTCCTTGCTTCTGTTCCTCCAAATGCATCTTACTTTTCTTTTGTGGATCTTTGGTCTATTTTTTTTTAGGTTGTCTATATCCTAAGGCACAATACAGTATCTGTTTCCTTTCATCTATCAGAAACACCAGTGCACCATGCTTGGCTATCCCAGGGATTCCAGGACTTTTCAATCTTGTGAAAGAGCTACTGTAGTCCTGGGGACAAGCTCCTGATTACACCCCCTCCCCTTGTAGGAGTTGTATCAAAAGACTTCCTTTGACTTGTGAAACTCTTGTAGCATCCAAAGGTCATAAAGTAGCTAGAGGAAAACTAGATTTTTGTTTTTACATGTTTTCCTGCATGGACCATCATATATACACTGAAATTTACCCACAATTTTTGCTGTCTTTTTAATCTCTATCCAGCTATTATAGGCAGATTTCTGAAGAGTTTCCCGAGGACCAGTGGTAGGATGAAGGTGGTACACCCTGGTACAGGCATACCAGATCCTGCCCGGAGCACCGGGTACCGTTCTGGTATGTTGCTCCGGAGGGCCCACCCACCTGCCCGAGCTCCTTACTATCTTTTGAAGCTATCGGTGCTTCCGCACACATGCATGGCGCATATAGCACCTGCGCGATGCTCCGGCAAGCAGCTGGAGTGTCACAGAGGTTTGCGGAAGCATTGTTTCCAGCTACAATGCATCCGCTTGCACTGCGACCGTGCATGTGAGTGATGTTATATATTATGATTTGTGTTCTGTCATATTCAAAAGGGCTAGCAACTGCTCTGTGCTCCCTGATTGGTTGGGACACAGAAGAAGCTGTTACTAGCGTACTCTGATTGGCTATTGCTGCCTATAAATACTCTGGTGACCGTTGGAACCGTTTGAATTGCTGTCATCTCTCTTCTGTAACTAATAAAGTACACCTACTGGCTTATCCATGGCTCCTGTGTTCACTCCCACATCAGTATGTAACAAGTGACGCCAGTGCTGTTCCAACCATACTAGTTGGAATGGAATCGGAAACTCACCACTGCCGAGGACTATATGTTGTCATCAGTGGGTTGCTGAATATTTTGCTTTAACTAAGTCACTGCATTCTTTCATTGCAGAAACCAATTCCAATCCCTTACAGTGGGATTGGGAAGCAGAACTAAAAACTGCACTTTTAAGTGGTGTTTTTTTTTTGCAGCTCCCACATTAGGATGACCTTTTTTTTAAAAAAAAGGGGGGGGTTACATTGTATTGTGATAAATACCAAGGATTGCAAAGAAGATGTTGATTCAGCTGACTACTCTGCCATCTATCCAGGCCAGTGGAATTCCTCTCAATGAAGCTTGATCCAATTGTCAAAGGATTTCCATCTTGGTTCCTCCATTTGATCTTTCTGATACTTCTCTTGACCACTCAAATTTCATTCTTTTCCTTGATGGCTTTTGCCCCCAGAATCCCAATGGAAAATCAAACGCTGGATGTTCTGTGTATTCCCTTCATGCTGTTTTTTATTGCCTGAGTTACTTAAGCTTTAGTGCTGTTGTTTTTGCTTGTGGCTACTAGTTGGCAGTGGGACAAACTGCAACTATTTACCCAGATTCTAAAATATGCTTATGACATTTGTTGTTCTTTAGGTAGTCTCCGGCGAAAGAGTTCCTAACCTCTGCAGGAACCTCAGATTCCCACGCTCCTTTAATTCATGCCTTGCTTCAAGCTCTTTTGTTGCTATAAAATAGCTATTGTCTGCGGTAAAACACACAGCAACAGATGACTCTGAAGTTGCTAGTGGCACACAAAAACCAAGACTGTAGTAATCTTAGCTGCCATGATACAGTCCAGAGATTTACTTAGAGCTTACTCTCAAGCTGTTACAAGGCCTGACCCCTCTCTTGTGAATACTGCTATTGGAAATGTGCAGGGAATGCAGGAGAATCCACAGGGATCTGGCAACTTCTGAATAGAGGCCTAGTAGAATGAGTGAAATAGAGGTTTCATATAATATATAGGATGTCTCACACAAAGAGGGGAATAAGCTTAGTCTTTTTTTTGGCTGATGGGTATTCTCCTCTTGTCCATCATTGGTTATGCTTATTCTAACCAATATGCCATTGCACAATATGGATGCATGGGAACCTACCAATTCCATAGCCTGAACTTGAACACAGTGACGTCTCTGAGTCTTACAGATGGAATTTGCACTCTATGAAGAAGTGGGTTCTGCTTTTTGGTGGCCATGGACTGTATTTTTTTAAAACATAGACAGAGATGTACCCTATCACCATGCTGATGGCGGAGAAACAGTAAGGTAAGTGATTTTGTTTCCAGGGAGGCTTGCCTTACTCATCAGATTGTGATACAGATCAGGAGTGAAATGCTCTGAAGTCTGCTACCGCTTCACTTCGCTACTGGTTCGTTACGCGTGCACGCACACCGCAGGGACTACCGTGCAGCTCTGAAAAGGGAGGATTAAGAAGCCTTTTCTGAGTCTACAAAGATAAGTAGAACAGTGAGGGGGGGACCAGCTGGGCCATGCGATTTATATTCGTTACAAAGACTTCGTGCTTTCTAGCTAATATAAATCGTGCGGCAAAACCGATTGTCGCAAAGCTGATCATCGGAACTTTTAAAAACTTTCTTAAAGCGTTTTTACTACCAAAGTATAATATAATATAAACCATGTGGCACAGTTGATCGTCACACAGCTGATCATCGGAACTACCGGTTCATCGGAACTACTAGTTCGCCTGAACTGGTAGTAAAAAAATGCTTTAAAAAACTTTTTAAAAAAAGTTCCGACGATCAGCTCTGTGCCAATCAACTGTGCCACATGATTTCTAGCATATTTTTACTACCAGTTCAGATGAACCAGTAGCATTTTTAGCTAACGGTTCAGGCGAATTGGCCCGAACCGGTAGCATTTCACCCCTGATACAGATACGCATCCCACCATTCAGGAAACCAAAGCCATTTGCAAAGCTATGGGTGTTAAATTATAATTCTGCACTCCAAAGGCTACAGTTACATAGAAGAGTAGAACCAAGACATTAAACTGAAGAGTAGAACCAAGACTCAATTAACTAAAATCACAGTAGATATTGGTCTTGTTAATGTCCAGGGGCCTTCCTTACATTCCCATACACACATGGGAATCAGAACAGTCCTCAGCAGGGAACTCTCCTCCCCTTTGAAAATGTATTTAGTTAATAGATGCCAGGACCAATCAACCTCAATCAACAAAACTAAGATAACTTAGATCAGGGGTGTCAAACTCAATTTCATTGAGGGCTGCAACAAGGTTGTGTTTGACCTCGGGGGGGGGGGGGGGGGGGGGGGGGGGGGGGGGGGATGGGGGGTGGCCAGGAGAGAGCGTGGCCAGCTTGACATTACTTGTGTCAGGGGTGCCTGCGGCCTGAGCTCTCTGCCAGAGAAAGCCTGCTCCTGAACTTCATTTTCAGTTGCAATGACCTCCTGCAAATCTCCACCAGAGCTCGGGAGGGCCGT